TATTAGTAAATGGTAATTAGTGAGGATAAAAGAAATTAAACAATGAATAGCAGGTAACAATTAAATAAATTTATACGAAGCTAATAGAAAAGAAATTTTAGAAAATCGAGTGTCATAGATCTAGTCCACTCGAATCCAAATAATTTAAATAAAATGGTAAAGTATGAAAACTTTGTAGTGCGTTTTGGGTCGATGTTTAGGACCTACCCGTCATAGTTTGGCTTTCGTAGCTAAAACCATACCTAGTAATGACATACGAAAAACATAGTACCTTGTTGGCTTACATTTATTGCACTTTGAATGTAAGTCAATAATGATAATATTCTTGACCTACTAGGTCGTAGGTTGGGGGTGTTATATTGATAGCCGTCACTATTAGCTCAAAATGTCTAGGGATTGATAATAATCGTTACTCATTCACTAATTTGACGCTATTTGCGAATAACTTTATGTCCGTTGTTGATTTCGTCGTTATTTTTTAGTTTTTTTTATAGTGTGTAATGAACAAATATATATATATATATATATATATATATATATATATATATATATATGTACCATTCACATCCCTCTTTGTGATTCAATTCACCATTGTCATATATGTATGTATTTATTCCTTATTAAATCTCCGATCCGGAAGTTTGAGTAACATTCACCTATATATGTGTTGAGTGAAGGAAAAATAAATTTTAGTTTTCTATCATCTTTCTCCCCAACCCTCTTAAACATCTTCCTCTCTAATTATTTACTTTTATCATTACTTTCTTTTATTGTTATCATTTATTTCACAATAATATTTACATTTTTATTGTTCCTAACTCTTTTTTTTTCTTTAACATAAAACTTTATTTTTTATTTTTTTGTTCGTATCATTTGATCCTTACTTTATTTTGATAATTAAAGTTTTGTTATGCGTGATTTTTGCTCCTACTTTATGCATGATGGGCTCTTTTATTGTATGATTCCTAATTTTTTTTTTAGCCTTTTGGTGAAATTGTGTTTTTCATATTAATTTGTGTTCTATGATTTGTTTTTTTTTTTTTTTGGGTCATTGAAGTTTTATCATTTTACATATATATAAAATCTCTATCATTTTGTATTCTATCAAGTTAAAACATAGTTTTTTAGGTTCATTTGCTTATCTTGACATAATATTTCTTCTCTTTTTTTATTTTTTTTACCCAATAATTAATATCCTACATGTTTGATCATATCATGACAAACAAACTATAGATAAAAAATACGATGAAAGCTATGACCATCTAAAATTTTAAAATCTATCCCGATTTTATTTTAATTGTCAATTGTTATACATGTTTCTAATAAAATATTTGATTTTATCAAGCAACATTTCATTAGCAATTTTATATTGCTCAACTTCGCATTCTTTTCTTTTGAATTTTTCTTAAAAAATATTATGCATGATTCTTTTAAATAATAGTTTTGCACAAAATGCCTTTTATTGTAGTCATCATTTAGTATTTGTTTTTTCTTATTATTGTTTGATATATATATAAGGCCCTTTATTTTTCATTCTTATAAAATATATTTATTTAAAATTTTTGAAATAAAATTTTTTAAATTGTTTCAAAATGTTTTATTATAATTATTAAATGAATTGATAGAACCCTCTATGTATAATTGAGCACATGAGAACAATGCATATCTCACTGCATGACAATGCGCGGGACGCATGCTATTACTCACAAAGTATTGAAAGTATTCCGATAAGTAAATTATAAATTAGCCCCTCTAGTTTCAAGAAGTAAATTAATTAATCTTTTTGTTTCAAAAACTAATATTTAATCTTTTAATCAGTGTTGAATATGCTTAATTTAATATTATTTTTATTTCATAAAAAAAATCTTATTTTCCTATTAAACTTTTTATATTTTTTCTCATATTTTTTTTTCAATTTCTTGAAAAAAATCAAAATAAATTAAAAATGAGCAAAAAAAAATTAAATTACATGTAGATTTCAAAACATTTAATTAGTGTTGAATATGCTTAATTTAATATTATTTTTATTCCACAAAATATATTATTTTCCTATTAATCTTTTTATATTTTTCATATTTTTTCTTTTTCTATTTCTTGAAACAAAAAATCAAAATAAATTAAAAACGAGTAAAAAGGATTAAATTACAAATAGATTTCAAAATATAAAGACTCAATAATTAGTTTTTGAAAAAAAAGACTAATTATTTTGTTTTTCATAACCGGAGGGACCAATTTATAATTTGCTCATATTTCCACAATACTGTACATTGCATTTTTATTTTTATTTTTTTCATTTTTTTTATTTCTCCAACCTGGCAGACCCCACTTGTGTTTTTTTTTTTTAATTGTCGCGTTCATTCCTTTGCCAAGTCAACACATTAGCTATCATTAAAGCAGCAAACTCAGAGGAAAAATACAGCTGTATGCATGTAACCCCTCGCGCTTTATGAGGAAAATAATAATAAATTATTTACTATTTAGTTGAATTATTTAAAATATTATTCTTCCAAGTTTATTTGTATTATTTTACCATAACTCATGTTTCTGTATTTTTTTTCATTATATATTGATATTTTTGTAGTTTTAGAATTCTCTAAAGGTATTTATTCCCAAAGATTTTATAAATTATATTTTGATGTTTTAAAAAAAAACATTGTTCTTTTTATCGTAAAAGTTTTTACTACATTTTAGTCGTTCTTTTTTATTTCGTTTTAATTTATTTTTTTGTTTTATTTTGATCACTTTTATCCTTATTTTTTTAATATGATTTTTAATTAAAAAAATTTAGAAAAAATTACTTTAAGAATATAATTTATAAAATAATTTTTTAGCTAAAAATTCATTGATTTTAACATTTTTAAAAATAATTATATTTTTAAATAATCGGTGTTGAATATGCTTAATTTAATATTATTTTTATTTCATAAAATATTTTATTTTCCTATTAATCTTTTTATTTTTTTTATATTTTTTTTATTTCTTAAAAAAATTAAAATAAATTAAAAATGAGTAAAAGGATTAAATTATAAGTAGATTTGAAAATATAAAAACTAATGATTAGTTTTTGGGGGAAAAATGGACTAATTAATTTGTTTCTCAAAACAGAAGGGACTAATTTATAATTTGCTCATATTTCCACATTACTGTACATCGCATTTTTTTTTTTTTTCATTTTCTTGATTTCTCCAACCTGGCAGACCCCACTTGTGTATTTTTTTAATTGTCGCGTCCATTCCTTTGCAAACTCAACACATTAGCTATCATTAAAATAGCAAACTGAGAAGAAAAGTACAGCTGTATGCATGTAACCCTCGCGCTTTATTAGGAAAATAATAATAAATTATTTACTATTTAGTTGAATTATTTAAAATATTATTCTTCCAAGTTTATTTCTATTATTTACCATAACTCATGTTTGTGTTTTTTTTTTCATTATATATTGATATTTTTGTAATTTTAGAATTCCCTAAAGGTATTTATTCCCAAAGATTTTATAAATTATATTTTGATGTTTTTTAAAAAAAATTGCTTTTTTTGCTCGTAAAATTTTTTATTACATTTTAGTCATTTTTTTAATTTCATTTTAATTCATTTTTTTGTTTTATTTTGATCACTTTTATCCTTATTTTCTTAATATGATTTTTAATTAAAAAATTTTAGAAAAAATTACTTTAAGAATATAATTTATAAAATAATTTTTTAGTTAAAAATTCATTGATTTTAACATTTTTAAAAATAATTATATTTTTAAATAATCAGTGTTGAATATGCTTAATTTAATATTATTTTTATTTCATAAAATATTTTATTTTCCTATTAATCTTTTTATATTTTTTCATATTTTTTTTTATTTCTTAAAAAAATTAAAATAAATTAAAAATGAGTAAAAGGATTAAATTATGACTAGATTTTAAAATATAAAAACTAATGATTAGTTTTTGGGAGGAAAAAAAGACTAATTAATTTGTCTCTTAAAATAGAAGCGACTAATTTATAATTTGCTCATATTTCCACATTACTGTACATCTCCTTCTTTTTTTTTTTTTTTTTTTTTTTTCTTGATTTCTCCAACCTGGCAGACCCCACTTGTGTATTTTTTTAATTGTTGCGTTCATTCCTTTACCAAGTCAACACATTAGCTATCAATAAAAGAGCAAACTGAGAAGAAAAGTACAGCTGTATGCCTACAGCCCTCACTCTTTGTTAGAAAAAGATAAAAAAACTATTTATTATTTAATTACATTATTTGAAATATTATTTATCCAAGTTTATTTATATTATTTAACATACTTATATGTATTTTTTTTATTATACATTGATATTTTTGTAGTTTTAAAATTTTCTGAAAGTATTTATTCTAAAAAAATTTATAAATTATATTGTGATTTTTTTTTAAACATTGTTTTTTTTTCTCATAATTTTTTTTAATTACATTTTATTCATTTTTTTTATTTCATTTTAGTCCCTTTTTTGTTTTATTTTGATCACTTTAATCCTTATTTTTTTTACTTTTATTTTTAATTAAAAAATTTAAGGAAAAAACTATTTTAAAAATATAATTTACAAAATAAGTTTTTAGTTAAAAATCCATTGATTTTGATATTTTTTCTTAAATAATTATAAATTTTTTATATAAGGATGTGGATAAAGATAGGTAAATATTTTTTTATAAAAAAATTATGAAAAATATAAAAAATAATTAGTTAAATATAAATTTTTGATTAAAAATTACTTAAATTTTTATTAAGTTTTAATTTAATATATTTAATAAATGCATAACATAACAGGAGTATAAAATTAAAGTAATTTTTTAAAAATAATTTATGTATTTTTTTTTTTTTAATCCGCGAGACAGGACTTGTGAAAATACTAGTGCTGTTTAATATACTATCAGTTTAAATGCACAGAGCGCACCCATAACTCTCTCTTATGCCGCATATGTATAAAACACATTTCTTCAGATAAAGAGCAAACACATTTCCATATTGGAAGCGGATAAGATGGCCAAGTTTTCGGTGTTATTTTGTCTGAGCTTGAGCTTGTTGATGATTTTTGGGTTTTTCACTACCGGCTCTGCAACAAAGGAAGAGATCGGGATATTTGAGCTCAAGAAAGGAAATTTGTCTATGAAAGTTACTAATTATGGAGCACGTGTCATCTCCTTTGTTCTCCCTGATAAATACGGTATATATGTTTTTATCTTCTTTCATCCATTTTTCCATTCTTGAAAATGTTGCTGCTTGTTACTTTGTTCTGAGCACGCATATATATATATATATATATATATATATATATATATATATAGTGCTTTTCAAGTTCAAGAACTCATGCTAAATTTGTTTCTTCCTGGTGTTAATTAACAGGAAACTTAGCTGATGTTGTTCTTGGCTATGATACTATTAAGGAATACCTGGTGAGATATTTCTTTTTCTTTTTTGATCTTTTTGTTTAATGACAGGATGATCATTTGTCATCCTTTTGTACATTGATCCACATAGATGGTTGTTCGTACACGCTATCTGTCTCTTTGTGACTCTTTTGAAGCTAAGGACATCCAAAACAAGGTGGTGGTCCTGCAGGATTACATGAACAAAATATTACTCGTATTAGCTAGACAAAAACGTTGCATCTGGAACTGCTAGCTGTATAATTTGTCGTACGCAAATATTTCAGTGGAAGTTTCATTACTTCGAAAAATAATTTTTTTCTTCTTGATAGTCTGATCTTTGTCTTATCTCATGGAGTCTCTTGATTAGCTTCAAAAGTTCTTTATCTTTGAAACTGCATTATAGAGTCTAACCATGTGATTTTTCCTTTGACTATGTGGGATATATGTGGACTTTAACAAGCAAATCAATTTTTATTTCACTTCTGCTTTTATTTGACCTGTCTTTTTTTTTTTTTAATTGCTGTGATGGATTCCATCTGTAACTTGGTTGCAAAGAATAATCAAACATTTTGCCTTTTCTTTTTAATTTTTAATCTTTGTAATATCAAGCAAATACTTTCATATCTTTTACAATCACTAAATCAATCTCTTTAATTGCTTTTGCTAATGCCATGATTCATCTCCATGTATAGATTTTTGATCGATTCTTGTTCATAGGGACAGCCATTGAATATGCTTTTAGCAGAGGATGTCATATGATGTTAGGATGATTTTTGACATTTATCACTCATACTCCCCTTCGAATTGACTAATTTGTCCATCTGAATTTTTAGATGTGGTGTGATGTATGTGCTGGACTGTGATTCAAATGCCAAGACCTAAAAATTGCCATTTAGAATTTCTTTGTTTTCCTTTCATATATGAGTGATATATGTGTGCAGAATGATTCGTCTAGCTTTGGAGCCATTGTGGGACGAGTTGCTAATAGAATTTCTGGTGCTCAGTTTACTCTGAATGGAACTCTATATAAACTAGTTGCTAATGACGGGAAGAATACGCTTCATGGTAAAATATACATTTCACTACACCTTCGATAGCAAAGTAGAATTTTTCCTAATATTGATTGAATTTTCTATCAACTTGAATTGAAGAGATACCTTATTTTGTTTGAATGAATTGCTTACATGGATATTAGGTGGCTCTAAAGGATTCAGTAAGGTTGTTTGGAAAGTGAAAAAGTACAGCCCAGAAGGATTTACTCCTCACATTGTCTTTGCATATCACAGTTTTGATGGTGAAGAAGGTCAGCATAATCTGTCAAGGCCATAATTTTTCGCACTTGCTAGAAGCACAACACATAAAGCTAACGAGCATGAATGACACATGCAACAGACATTAAAGTTATGAATACATTTTTCATGTTCGCAGGATTCCCCGGTGATCTCCATGTGATTGTGGAATACAAGCTCCTTGGAGACAACAAATTGAGCATAAAAATGAAAGCAAAATCCCTAAACAAGGCTACTCCAGTCAATCTAGCCAACCATGCCTATTGGAACCTAGGTGGCCACAATAGTGGTGATATATTGTCAGAGGAAATTCAGATCTTTTCTTCGCACTACACTCCTGTTGACAGTGAGCTCATTCCTACTGGAAAGATAGTGACAGTGAAAGGAACACCCTTTGATTTTCTCAGACCCAACACCATTGGAAGCAGGATCAACAAACTCGCTAATGGCTATGACATCAACTATGCACTTGATGGAAGTGCAAAAGAGAAGTTTAATAAGGCAGCAATTGTGCATGATAAGAAGTCTGGAAGAGTGATGGAGATATTAACAAATCAACCTGGTGTTCAGTTCTACACAAGCAACACTTTGAATCAGAAGGGAAAAGGTGGATTCGTGTATAAACCTCATGCAGCTCTTTGTCTAGAGACTCAAGGATTTCCTGATTCAGTGAATCACCCTAACTTCCCTTCACAGATTGTGAATCCAGGGGGTACTATAAGCATCACATGTTGTTTAAGTTTTCAACTTTCTAGATAAACGGGGACACTAAACTTTCAGATGACATAAGCTAGATGATTGTGTTTTCAGACTGGTTTTGGCATTGTTTCAAAATTGGAGATTGTTTGTACTTTCTATCGTCTACGATCATGTGATATTATTGCTCAATAAAATGAATAATTGCTGCAGAATGCACAGATATTGACTATTCCATATAGATTGAAACAGTCTTTTTATGCCACCTTTCTGAACTAATTGTGTTTTTTGGCTTCGTGCAGTAATTGCTGTTGAATTATTTTCAGGTTTGCCACATCTACAGGAATGTGTCAGTAATTTAAGCCTCAGGTTTCTAAGCGGGCTAGAGCTTCAAACATGTTAACCATTAACTTTTGTTCCAAAAGCAAGGTTGTTTCAAGATTTGAGTGTCATGACCCTGGTGAGGGATTAGTCATGGGTAATTCCCTTAGTGGCACTAGCTCTATGCTTGCACCCTATGATGATTGAAGGTGGGCTCATCGAGAGAGAGCACCAATCTCTGATTCAACTATAAAAAAATTTGGCTTGCTTTTCTTATTCAAACATATCCTTTAAATAGTACAAGCTTAGGTGTCATTATTTTAGGTAGTCTGCTAGGAATAGAAAACACAATAACTGATAATGTTTAAAAAAAAAAATCAAAGGGAAGTATTTCTAAAAATAACAATAATGATGTTACTAAATTAGGAACTAAATTATCGTTAGTCTATTCTTTTGAATTCTCTTCTGGCCTTTCTTCTCCTATAAGGACGTCCCACAAAAGCATCCCTAACATCACTCTCTCCCTTGACATTGAGCTTATCCTTAAGCTCAAAATCTATTTAAACATTCTAGAACTTAGTTAGTGGTTCCCATCTGGATTCCACCTCGATTAGTCCTTGCCAAAGCACCAAAACCTCCAAGTTCCCTCTGGTAAGCCTGGAACGAAGAATACACTGAATAATTGGTACCATACGCCCATTCATCATGTAAGGAAGTGGTGTAAGAACCTTTTAGAGGAGTGACCAAAACCTTTTGAAAAGAAAGACATGAAATACATCATGAATTCAGCTTACAATTGGCAAAATCAGCCTATATACAACCTGATCATTGCGTTCCTTAATCTGGTAAGGACCATAAAATCACTAACCAACTTGTGGTGCTTCTTGTCAGCTACTGTGACTAGGCGGTGTGGAGGGAGCTTAATCCATACAAAACTTCAGAGCTCAAAAATAACTTTCATGTGCTGTTCATCATAAAACCTCTTTATGTGTCCCTAGGCCTGCTGCAAACGGACTCGTGCTTTAGCCAAAACCTCATCATGGAATTGAAGAGCATGGTCCACATCTTCTACTGTTGAGGAACCTGGAATGTAGGATAGTAATCTAGGGGGTTCTCTACTATACACAACCTTAAATGGTGTAATTGAAGGATTATGAATCCTATGAAGGTACGAAATAAATAAAAATTTTATTTTTCTTCATATAAAGTTTCTAAAATCATGCTATTAAATCAACTAATCATATAAATCTAACAAGATAATAATAAGTGATTACCTTTTATAGCGTAGGATTTAAACTTTATGAAAAGGAATCGTCTAGTTGTCCGGCCTCTATTGATAATCCATGCAGCTCAAACACTCACATAAGAAGTAACAAAAATCATTGTGTGCTAGCTCCAACTATTATGTATAGAAAATTTTATCTCTAGAAATCTTTTAGGGTTTTTATGCACTATATTTTTCTAAGGGAGAGATGCAACAACATTTTCCTTTTTAAGGGAGAGACACATAAAACTTTTCTTTTGTTGTTTTTCTATATATTGTCCTGTTTCTCTCACCTTCTCTCTCCAATTTATCACGAGTGTGATGCAACAAGCATATTTGATTATAATCACATAAGTTTTCTTTAATCTTCAAATGTCTTAGCTCTCAAGTAAACTAACTATGCTTTATTGGTATACTTCCACAATGGCCATAGATTCATGAGCAAACATTCATCAAAGTATAATATGATAACTCTTTTAGTATATAAGGAATGATGTGTCTTATCTCATTTATAACCCTATCTTCATTAGATTCCTAATGCACCCAACAAATCGTTTACATGCATCTATTTACTAAACTCATCAAAATCAACTAATGAGATAACCGTGATGACTTCAAGTTAAAGGACTATTTGTACGCATCTTGTATGAGATTTTCATAGACTAAACCAAAAGGATTCTTATGGCAAGTCACATCTAGTTATATGTTTTCTAACATTATTCACCTAAGTGGTTGCTTTAGCATCACCATGTTAAGTAGGTGTGAGATTTTCTATTGCTATCTTATAGCAAGAGCATAACACTCATAAGTCTTACCGTATGTTATCAATGTCCATTCTTGATATGCTACGACTTGGGATATTTAATGATATCTTTTAAATACATTGATATTTGTCTAACATCTATTAATTAATTATTAATGCAATGCATATCATAAGGACTTCTATTTAATTTTATCAAATTATAGAAAACAAGAATTAATTGAAAGACTTTATTAATATTAAAATGCAATAATACAATAAATCAAACCATTCAAATAGATTGGATCTAGGACACTTATACTAAAAATCTCTTGGTTACGTTAAAGCCAACCGACCACTTCCCTTATGTTTGACAATCGAACAAGGGTTTTGAATTTTTCTCCATTTAAAGGGCCTAATATCTTTTGGTTGAATCAACTAATCATATATTTATAAATTAAAATATTAAAAAAAAAGCTACCTCTTGTAGTGTAGATTTAAACCTTTGCGAAAAGAAGCCATCCAAGTATCCAACCTTTATCGATAATCCACATCGTTCAAGCACCATAAAAGAAGCACTCAAAATTGGTAGAGTGCTAGCTCCATTGTTTTTGACTTGTTTAGTGTTTTTACTTTTGAAATCTAATCTAGGTAATTTTGTGACAACCCTAAGAGAGAAAAGAAAAAGTGGTGTGTGCTAGGGTTGAGGAGAAAACAATTTTCTCTTTATTTTTTTTTCAATGTCGTGTGCCCTAATTCTCTACACTTTGTGTCATTTTTCTCTCTAATTAATTCTCACTCTTTTAGCCACATCTCTCCTCCTATTTATAGGGGAAGATTTTTTTCTTATCCTTCAAAGATAAGGAGGGGTGGTAACTAGTCCTAAAAAAGATTCTTGGCTATTGTTTCCTAATTCTCTAAGATTAGGAGTTATTATGCATGCGGGCTTTTTGATCTTATCCTTTAAAACATTCATCCTTATACAATAAGGTTCATGTTTATCCTCCCACCAAAATATCATTTAGGCTTTTAATTAAACCTATTGGTCTAAATATTTTTAGTTTAATTAATTAATTTGGACTATGCAAATAAATTAGGTTAGATAATTTTAATATTAGGAAATAATTTCCCAAATTACTCTTAAACCTAAATTAGGAAACTAATTTTCTTTTAGGTTATTTACTTTCAAATTTGAAACTAACTTTCAAATTAGAAAACTGATTTCTAAAATAGAAAATTTTTCATTTTAGAAAACTTTTTTCATAATAGGAAACTTTTAAAATTAGAATTTTTTTTCCAACATCTTTGCTTTTCTTTTATTATTTGAAAGCTTAAAGTTATACTTGTGACTCAATAGGCTCCTAGATGTGTTAGTAATGTATCAAGAATAAATGACACTTTTTTTATCTTTTGATATATAAATTAAGATTGGCCTATAGCAAGGTATCATGACTACCCAATTCTCTAGAAGGATTAATTAATCCATAATTACCTTTCACGAGCATGGTTACCATACAATTCAATATTTATGTCACTTACCACAAGTATAATCTCGAACTTGGTTATTAGTCTTTTTTGATTATGATCACACAAGTTTTCTTCAATTCTCAAATGTCTTAGCTCTTATAGTAAACCATCTACGCTCTATTGGTATAATCCTACCGTGGTCATAGATTTTTTGAACATACATTCATCGAAGTGTAATGTGATAATTCCTTTAGCATATAAGGTATGACATATCTTGTCTTAGTCATCCACATGCATCCATTAGATTCCTAGTGCGTCCAACAAATCGACCATGTGCAACCTTTTACTAGGTCCATCGAAACGAGTATCAAAGCACATAAATCCTTCAATGAGATAACCATGATGACTTTAAGTCTAAAAACTAGTTGTATCCATCTTGTATGAGATTCCCATAGTCTAAACTAAATGAGTTCTCATGACAAGTCAAATCGAGTGATATATTCTCTAAAATAAATCACATAAGTGCTTGTTTTGGCATCATCATACCAATAACTCGTGAGATCTCCTACTCGTTATCATATAGCATGAATATATCACTCATAAGTCTAACTATATATAGTCAATGTCCATTATGGATAATGTTATGACTTGGGATATTTAATGATATCATTTATGTGTATTAGTGTTTATCTCACATCTTTCGATCAATCACCGATGCAAATACATATCATATGAAATTTTATCTAATTCTATTCAATAAATAAATATAAATAATAAGAATTAATAGAAAGACTTCTTTTATTATTAATAAAATAAATAATATAATAATACAGTAACTCAAACATATCTAAATATGGTTGGATCTTATTCACATACAATAACAATCTCTCACTTACACGAGAGCCAACCAGCCATGTCTCTTAATTTCGATGATCGAGTAAAGGTCTTATGTTTCAACCGTGACAAAGGTTTAATCAAAGGATCAGCTTTATTGTTGTCGGTGTGGACCTTTTCTATCCTTATGTCACCATGATTGATAATCTCTCTAATCGGATGATAGCATCGCAAGTACATGCTTAGACTTTGATGAGACCTTGGTTCTTTAGCTTATGCTATGGATTCTTTGTTGTTAGTCATCAAGTTATATGACCTAGGAATAACTCCTTTTTTTCATACTAAACCTTTTAGTATCATGTTATTATATCTACCTTGGGAGACCCTCATATTCTAAGTGATCTATCTCTATAGATGTTGACTCTTAAAATGTAAGCAGCGCTCTTATGTCATACTTGGGGAAATTTTAGTTTAGATATCTCAATCTATTATGGATTGCAACATGATAATGTTCAAAACCGAGAAGTAGTTTGTTTAAATTTTTATATAGAATAAACATGGCTTATAGGCTCCTACTAAATTTTTGTATACACAAGGTTTATGTTTGTTTTTATAAAAATATCAAACTCTTTGATTATTTCACCAAAATATTAATTCTCATTCCTAGAGGCATGCTTAAGTCCATAAATGGACCTTTGCATCTTGTAAATCTTATTTGCATATTCTTTAAAACCATTAGGATAAGTCATCTATGCACTCTTTTCGTTCACCATTTCTAGGAGTCAATATCTAACATTGTCTTTTCATAAGTGTTAGCTTCATTCTCACTTTTAAAGTACACATCACCATGTGTTGAAATAAGAAGATCATATCCTCTTGTCCTTTGATGAACTCCTTTTAGAC